TGGCCTTCGCGCTCACACAGCGAGATCCTTAAACCAGCGACGCTGCCGTATAATGCTGCCTCCCTGGGACCACCAGCGGGGAGCACTGGGCACTTAAACCTTAGCACAGGAAAATTCTGGCCAGATGCCACCATCCTCGCTGCTCAGGCTGTTGGTCTTTCTGTGTGGGATCAAAACCAAATGTGCATTCTTTCAGGGGGCCGGGCGGCCACAGAAAGGCCCAGCTGAGTCTCTCCCTCGGAACTTAGAGAGCCACGCCGAGAGCCGGCATGTGGTATGTCCCCCCTCTGCCGGGAGGATGCCGGGCTGGGATTTTTGTTTAACATGGAAAAGGGACCCACAATGAAAACAACGTGTGGAAGGGTCTCCTTCCGCACGTCACCGAAGGCAACTCTTGTTCTTGCTCATCCTCCTGGTCCTGGGCTGTTGGCAGTGACTGCCCGCCGAGTCCGCCGTGGCGTCTCCCCGGGGCCTGGCCCAACGGCCCAGGCTAAGCAGCTGCCTCTGGAAGGTTCCTTCAGGGGGTTGGGGACAGGCCTTGCTGGTCTGTAGGTTCTCAAGCCTCAGATGCTCCAGGGTCAGCCTTCACCCTCAGTTTACCGGGGACACAGTTGGTCTCAGAGACGGTTTTGGGGGCTGTCCTACAAGTGGCTTCAGTGACAGGCCCTGTGACTGACAGGCTGAGAGGAGGTAGAGGGCCACTCGGTCAGTGCGTTGTACAGATAGGGCCACAAAGACAAAGCAGCGCCTTCACCAGAGCCCCTCTGTGGCCTGCTCGGGCCCCTCCCACAGCCTGCTCAGGTCCCTCCCGTGGCTGCTCAGGGCCTCCCGTGGCTGCTCAGGGTCCCTCCCACAGCCTGCTCAGGTCCCTCCCGTGGCTGCTCAGGGTCCCTCCCACAGCCTGCTCAGGATCCTCCCCACAGTCTGCTCAGGGTCCCTCTGGCCTACTCGGGTCCCTCCCGGGGCTCCTCGGGTCCCTCTGGCCTGCTCAGGGTCCCTCCCGTGGCTGCTCAGGTCCCTCCCACAGCCTGCTCAGGTCCCTCCCATGGCTGCTCAGGTCCCTCCCACAGCCTGCTCAGGTCCCTCAGGACACCTTGGTGTGTCCTTGGCTAAGACAGGTGTGGCCCTTTCCCAGAGGCGCGGTGACCGCTCACAAATAGCAGGACTGCCTGGTAGGATGGAAATTAGAGCTCACCCAATCCTCATCGTGCAGGGTCCCTCCCACAGCCTGCTCAGGTCCCTCCCATGGCTGCTCAGGTCCCTCCCACAGCCTGCTCAGGTCCCTCAGGACACCTTGGTGTGTCCTTGGCTAAGACAGGTGTGGCCCTTTCCCAGAGGCGCGGTGACCGCTCACAAATAGCAGGACTGCCTGGTAGGATGGAAATTAGAGCTCACCCAATCCTCATCGTGCAGATGGCTAATGTGAGACCCAGAAAAGGGGACATAATTTCTCCCAAGTCCCATGGTCACTAGTGGCAGGGCCCACCTGGGATTCCTGGCCGAGGCGCATGCCAGCCCCACACCACCTGGCCTGCTCCTGTGGCCTTTTGATTTCCTGCCCAGAACCCTTCTCCCCTCACCCCACCCCTGCATCCAAAATAATCCGAGCCCTTCCCACAACCCGACCAGGCTTATGGGACCTTCTTCCCTGTCTCTCTCACCTCCACCCTCTGCTCCTGGCGCCGACATTGCTAAGTCTTCCCTTTGCACTTGCCGTCCCCCCGCCTGGTGCACCTGTCCTGCGGGAGCCCTTACTCCCACCCACATCCCACCCCCTCTCTGCCCGTGCCCAGCCCGTTTCCTCTGAGCTTCGCCGTGCCTGACATTATGGTGTAAATGTATTTGCTAGTTTGTTCACGGCTTGTGTCCTCGGGAAGGCTGCACGGCTCTGTGAAGGTGGCACCGCGGCTGCCGTCACTGCACTGCTCCAGGGCCCCAGAGCATTGCCGGCTCAGAGCATGCCCAGATACCAGGCAGGTGAATGAGTGGATAGAGGAGTGAGCTAAGGAAGGAAGGGAAGAAGGCATGAGTGATTACTGCTACCTACCTGCTGCCAGGCTTAGCCCCCTGCTGTGAGCGGACTGGTCCCTCTGAAGGTGGGCAGGCACACGTCCATCCGCCCTGGGGCCACTCCAGGGGCTGAGTGTGGATGTGAGTCCTCGGAGACCCTGCTGCTGAGGGCCTCCTGGGTGCTGGCTGCTGGCAGCACCTGGGCTCCATGGGGGGAGCCGGGGGAGCCACGAGCTGCCTGGCCATTGCTCTCCATGTGCTTCCTGGCAAGAAAAGGATCCATGGTGCCATAGCAAAGGCCCAGGAGGTGAGTGCCTGTGGCACTTCCCCTGCCTGACCCGGTGGGCACTGGGCCACACCCAAGCTGCCGACTGACCTAACACATCAATGCCTGGATGGGTGAACTGCTAACACGTGTTCCCGGGCTCCTTCTAAGGACGCCAAGTGGTAACAAGAGGGCGCAGGGCTGTGGCCAGAGCCCCTACTGCCTGCTCATCCCATGGGCGTCAGCTGCTTGGAGGGCAGCAGAGGTGCCCAGGCCCTGCCCTGCCCCTCTGACTCGAGAAAGAGAAAGCCGCTTCCCATGTCACCTCCACAGCTGTCACCCAGGGACCGGCCAAAAAGAGGGAGCAGCCCCGGCTGAGGCGGGACTCTGGATGGCTGTCCCTCATGCCTCCTCCCAGAAGCCCAGGCTCCTCCTCCCCAACACACACAGGCACACATGCACATACACACAGGCACACATGCACATACACACAGGCACACACACAAACACACAGGCACATACACACAGGCACATACACACTGGCACACACACGTACACACAGGCACACACGCACATACACACAGGGACACACACATGCACATACACACAGGCACACACTCACATGCACACACAGGTACACACACAGGCACATACACAGGTGCACACACATACACACAGGCACATACACATAGGCACACAGGCACATACACACAGGCACACACTCACATGCACACACAGGTACACACGCACAGGCACATACACAGGTGCACACACATACACACAGGCACATACACATAGGCACACAGGCACATACACACAGGCACACACTCACATGCACACACAGGTACACACGCACAGGCACATACACAGGTGCACACACATACACGCAGGCACAACGCATAGGCACACACTCACATGCACACACGCACAGGCATATACACACAGGCGCACACATACACGCAGGCACACACACATACACACAGGCACACAGGCACATACACACTGGCACACACTCACATGCACACACAGGTACACACGCACAGGCACATACACAGGTGCACAGACATACACGCAGGCACAACGCATAGGCACACACTCACATGCACACACGCACAGGCATATACACACAGGCGCACACATACACGCAGGCACACACACATACACACAGGCACACACTCACATGCACACGCACATACACGCAGGCACACACACACTTACACACAGGCACATGCACCGCCTGGTTTGGTGGAGCAGCAGGTCACCCTGGGAGCCACTCCAGTTCATGTTTGCCTGGGAAACTAGCACACTCACGTCATCCCTGTGGCGGCTGGAGCTCTTTAGACCTGAAGAAGCTGCATTAATCCTGTTCAGGGACACACACCCGCTCACAGCTGCTTAGGTGGGGCCTGGTTGGGAGGGCTGGGGGAATCTGATATTGCATTAAGGGACCCCCTTCAACCCTGTCGGTGGAACTCTGGGTTGAAAAGGACACACAGGTGCTGGGGGTGGAGAGCGGGACACCAGGAATTCTGGGGTGAGTGCAGCTTGAGGTTGCTGTGAAGACCTAGGAGTTGATATTCACAAAGTGCTTAGAACAGGTCCGATACTGTGTGCATTTGCTAAATACAGTGGGTGACCAAGGCGGGGACAGGAGGCCCAGGCACTCCCCTTGCATCAGGGCTGCCTCTGAGTATTCATTCATGCTAGGCAGAGGGAAGAGCTATGACCAGCTGTCCAGGGCCCTGGACTCTCCTGGCTCTGCCATTTTTGAGCCCCGTGACTGAGCTGAAATCACCCTTGGCCTCCATTTTCTCATCTGTAAAATAACACCCACCCTGGCTGCCCCGGGGGCTTTGGGAAATGCAGGGAAACATTTGTTAACAGTGCTGTGGTTCGGTCTGCCTGGCCGCATTGAAGAAACCATACAGGCCCTTTCCTGCGCCTCTGGCACCTCTGTGGAGGTGGCACTGCTTCCCTGCTGGGCTCCCCGAGGGTTCCCGAAGCCCAGTGTGTCCCCGTGGGAAGCAGGAGGTGCTGGCCTCTGTTTTTAGAGGCCAGTTCCCCTGTGAGCCCAAGATTTCTGGAGTCTGGGAGATTGATTTAATCAGGGTGAGAAATTGGTTTTCTTTGTCTCAAGTCCCCATGGAAGATGCCAGTATTGTGGAATTATGAAGATAAAATAGAATATGTAAAAATTAAGTTTAAAATGTCAGGAGAAAAGTTTTAACTCTTGTTAAGAGTTCAGAGCATTCAAACCAAGTGTCCCTCAAGGGATGAATGGATGACCAGAACGTGGCCTACCCTTCTGGCACAGGGTACAATGGATGAGCACTGAGGACATGATGCTCCGTGAAATACACCGGGCACGAGAGGACAAGTACTGCAGAGGGGCCTGGAGTAGCCACATTCATAGAGACAGAAACTAGGGTGGTGGCCGCCGGGCCAGGGTGGGGAGATGGGGAGTTGTGTAAGGGACCCCGGGATTCAGCTTGGGAAGATGGAAGGCCCCCTGATGGGTGGTGGTGGTGGTTGCACAGCAGTGTGAATGTGCTTACCTGTGCTGTGCACTCAGGCATGATTGAAATGGTAAGTGTCCTGTTGTATGTATTTTACCACAGTAAAATCAGAGGATAGTGTTTACAGAGCAGTCCCAGAGTCTGCACGTGAGCGGCAGTATCTGTGTGCCTTTATTAGGGCAGGCCCGGCGGGCTGCTGCCCCGCGTGCATGGAAGACGAACGGCCGCGCCTCAAAGCCAGTCAGCAGGTCAGCCTCACCGCTGGCTCCCGCTGGCCAGGCCTTCGGCGGGAGTGAGTCCGCAGAGAAATCTCCACGCCTTAGCCCTTTCTCCAGTCTAACTGCTTTTTAAAGAGGCTTGTTTTCCTGGCACCTATAATTACGTTTGCCTCCAGGGTACCCAGGAATTTTTTCTTAATAAGCAAAGAGCATCCTACAATTACCATGATGATTTGTTGAGGGCAGGCCAAGTGCAGACAGGGGCTGACTCACCTCTGGAAACTGATGCTCACGCGTTGGCATTTACAGCTCGGAGGCCCCGCCGGCGCGCTTAGGGTCAGTAATTAATGGTAAGAGCCGGGGAATTAACCTGCCCGCATAGGTGTCTGCTGGCTGCAGCGGCGCGGGCCCTGGCTTCACAGAGCTCCGGGTGACCGTGGCTGGCGTGGGTGCCGTCACCCAGGGCTGCGGGAGCCACACAGCCAAGGCCGGGATGGGCAGAAAGAAGCCTGTCGGCTCTGTCAGCCCTGATTTGCGGCCGGCCTGTAATCTCCCCGAGTTCAAAGAGCGCTTAGCTGCTTGTCTTTGTCAAGAGCGCGGTCGGGGATCTTTTATGTGAGTGATGTAGGTTCTCCGGCTGACTTTGATTATTTATTCATCCCCCTCCGTGGGTGTGTGATAGCCGGGCACCTCGGAGCCCCCAGTCCTGACTGCTTTTGCTCTGAAATTCATTGAGCTTTAAAGCCCTTTGAAAATGGCTTCTCCAGGGAGGGGCAAGGTTTTGAAGTCCTGTCTCTCTCCCCCTGTACAGTGCCGCAGCATCTTTTGCCACCGTTCCATGCTCCCTTACCGATTGACATGAGACACCAGGAGGGAAGGTACCATTACGAGCCTCACTCTGCCCACGGCGTGCACGGGTAAGTTCTGCCCTCGGCCGGCCGCCTCGGCGTGCAGCCTCCCCGCACCGGGGAAGCCAGGCTGCCAGCCCCAGCCGCCTCTCCTGCCTCCGTCTTTCTTTTCGGAGTTCCTGATCTGCATCGTCACCTTTGCCACCCATGGGTGCACTGAGCGGGACCCCGAGTGGCTGTGTGGGTGGGATGTGGACACCCAGCTCCCTCTGATTCCCACCTCACCACTTCCAAGGCTGCCGGCTCTCCTGGCGGGTCCATACGCACCTGGGGCTCAGTACCCCGGTCGTGGGAGCCCCTTCAGGCCAAAGGTCCCATAGAAGTATGCTGACCTTCCTTACATGTTGTCCAGGCATAATAATTCATCGCACCCCTTTTGCTCTCTGAAGTGTCCCGACTTGGACACTGAGTTCCGGGATCACCCTACTTATAAGGACAAGCTCAGAGTCAGACGTCGGGGCCTCTTCCCGCTCCTGCTTTGAGACCGCAGGTAGGGAGACGCCAGTGCTGTCCCACCCACCCCTTGAGGCCTGTAGCCGATGTCACTTTTCTTGGTCTTTATTACCTGATGAGCCATGTCCATGCTACCCCCGTGTCTGCTTTCAGAAGAGAGGCCACGGTCTTCCCCTGCCCCCAACATACCTGCTGCTCGCACACCTGCCTGGAGGGGCCTACTGCACAGGACCAGCTGCCCTGTGGCCCCTCTTGACCCAGCCACCTCACCTGCCCACATGCTGTTTGTGGCAGCACTCACACCCCTGCCGCACATTCCTGTGTCTCGGCTCCAGCTGCCCAGCCTGCCTAGAATGGCGCACGATTCCCACTGGCCCGGCCTCCTCCAGGCGTCTCCACAGATTCTCTAAGCCTCAGCCGAGGAGCACCTCCTCCGGGGGCACCGGGACCCGCACACCGCGTGGGACCCTTCCCTGGATTCCACTGCACTCCCGCGCCATGGGTTCACACCTGTCTCCCAGCAGGCTCTGCCAGTGGCTGGTGCACAGTAGGTGCACCATCACTGTGTGCTGAGTGCACAGCCCCCCGTGCATCCCACCCACTGCTCTCCTGGCTCCCGACCGAGTGGAGGCAGTGAGCACTTGCTGAGCACTCACTACGTTCAAAGCACGCGCTCTGCCTGGTCGGGGGCCGGTGACTGAGAGGGGACCCGACCTCAGGTGACTCCTGTTCTGGGCACGCATTTCCTTTCCTCCCCGCAGCAGATCAAACCTGGGGTTTTTATTTTCTTTTTAAAAATGCATTTTACTTTGGAATAATTTCAGACATATAAAAACAGTTGCAAAAATAGTACAAAGATTTCCATAATACCCTTCACCACTTCCTCGAATGTGCTAGGAACCAACTTGTGGGTCTTGCCCAGATCTGGCCAGGTGACTGCTCATGTCTTTTTTCCCTGGTTCGGGACCCGGCTTTTGCATTTAGTTGTCTTATCTCTATCAGCACCTTTAATCTGGGACGGCCGCTCAGTCTCTCTTCATGACCGTGGCATTTTTGCAGGGGGCAGCCCAGCTACTGCATGAAACATCCTCCTGGGCTTGTCTGATGTCGCCTAGGATTAAATTCAGACTTTATGTTTGGGGGAATAATGAGAAAAGCGACGCTGTGCCCTTGCTGCCAGGGGCAGGCCGAGGGGATACTTCTCACCCTGGATGAGTTGTGACCGCTTAGTTCAGGTGCGTTTCCCCAGTTTGAGGTTGGCCGCTCTGTAATGACGAAGCAGTCACGTTGCTAATGTGTGCGTACCCTCCTGCCCCTCACATTGGCACCCCAAACTGCAACCTCCATGGCGGCTCTTGTCGGAAACAGGCGTTACCCGTCAGTGCCAAGTGCCGCCTTTCCGTGCACGTCGCTCCTCCCACATTTATCTGCTAGCATGCTCCTGTGAGGAACAGCTAGCTGTGCCTTCTCCCCATTTCTCTTTTCCAAATAAATGCATTGATATTTGTGATGGTCTGTGAGTTACAGTCTCTGGTTATCGCTGTGTAGTGTGTTGTTCCCATTGTCCCAGATGTGACATTGTCTCCCTGTCTTCCAACACGTTTTGGCGCATGTGGCTGGTTCTCGTGGACGAGGCAGGACCTGCTGCTGCCGCCACGCGCCCACCACAGCCCGCCCAGCTCTCAGACCTCGGCTGCTGCCGGGGACTAAGGCCACTTCCAGCAGCTTCGGGGAGATGCGTACATTTGGAGCAAGTGGCTCCCCCGGAAATTGCTCAGTTGGTGGCATCTGCAAACCTAAGCGTGTTAAGGGAACTGAGTTTCTTCTAGGAGGGGGTTGGAATTGCTGATTTTCTGCTCTTGAGACACGTTTGGCTGGTTCGGCGACACAGGTCCTGGGCACAGCAGGTCTGCGGGAAGTGCTTCCCTGCCGGGGTCCCAGGGCCAGTGAAGGCGTGCTCAGTGCAGAGAGGTCCCGGAGGGGTGCCAGGCAGGCCCCTCACTGCAGGGGAACATCCCGGCTCACATCTCCCCGGAGCTGATAGAAGTCCCCCAATGGCGAATGCGATTTCTCGGATTAACTCTGACCTATGGAGGTTAAACACTTCCTGTTTCATCTCACTCCTCTCAACAGCCCGATGAGAGTGCATTTCGTGTCACCCGCTTTACAGGTGCAGGAACTGAGGCCGCACAGAGAGGATAAGTAGCTGGCATGAGGGTCACCCACGTAGGGGTGGGCAGTTAGAAATCCCATTCCCGCCCTGAGCCCTGCCCCTCAGCCGCACACACTGGCCTCTCTCGGGAGCACATGTGTGACTCCAGGACCCCTGGGCAGGTTCCACCGAATCCAAAGAGCACAGACCACCCTCGGTGAGGGCACTGCCCCTAGGTCGGTGGTTCCCAGCCTGTTAGGAATGCAGGTGCCCAGGCCCGGACCTGCGGAGTCAGCTCCGGGCAGGGCCACGGTCTGCATGTGCCACGCCTGCTGCAGGCGCAGGTTTGAGACACTGTGCAGGCAGGGCCTGGTTGCTGAATGGGGGTCCTACTGCTGTCCCTCCCTGTGAGAGTGGAGCTGTGGCAGGAGGTCGCCTTGCGTCTTCTCCAGGCTTCGCCCTCACCAGCTCTGGGCTGGACACGGGCCACATCCGCCCTCTGGGCCTGCCCCCTTCCTAGGCAGGGAGGCGCAGCGTGTGGGCAGAGCACCTGGAGAAGTAGGTGACGATGGCAGGTCGCAGAAGTCTGGCGGCCAGTGGCCTGCACAAACGGTCTTGTCCCTCGCTGGCCCGGCGGGTCTTCACCTCCCTGGGTAGCTGCACGGCGCTGAGCCTCCTGCTGCTGCTGTGAGGAAGCGCCTCACTCAGTGGGTTAACCAGGACCGATCTGGTCTCGGAGCTCTGGAGGCCAGAGGACTGGAGGAGTCGGTGCTGGGAGAACCGTTTCCTCCTGGCGGCTCCAGGAGAGAATCCTTTCCTTGGCTCACAGGCCCTGCCTCTCTTCGCGTTGCCTCTGTCCTCGCATGGCCATCTTCCTCTGCAGTCCTTTCTCCCTCTGCCTCCCTCATCAGGGCACCTGTGATTGCGCTGAGGGCCACGGGACAACCCAGAACGGTCCTGAACTCAACATCTGCGACGGCTCTTTGCCACAGAAGCTCCCATTCCCAGGTCCCAGGGCTTAGGAGGGTCGTTCTCCAGCTCATTTGGAATCACCAGTCCCAGTGGTGAGCCCAGCATCACCACGTACAGTACAGGGCGTGAGGAATTTGTGCCCTGGAGCCGGTCTGCTGTTCCCTCACTTCCCGATGGCCCTGTGAGGTGGGTTAAATCTGCAGCTCGCAGGTGCAGACACAGGCTCAGAGGTGTCCCCACCCCCAGGGCATGCCCTGCACAGCCTCTGGGCTTGCTTCTGCTGGAGGGCTGAGGAGCCAAGGAGGGCTGGTCCGTTCACACCCGGCCGTGGCAGCAGCACTGTTCCCCGCATCCTGCTGGCCTGGCTTCCAGTGGCTCCACCTTGTCCTCAGGACACTGGGTCCCAGCCAGGCCACAGGGGACGAGGCGATTGCTGCAAAGCCGCCCCTTCACCCCTGCCTTCAGTGTCCCAGGTAAGAAACGGGCAGAGCTCGGGAGGAAAGCGGCCCCTGTGGCCCAGGCCCTGTGGTTAGTATGGGGGAGCCTGGTGCAGCCCGATCCAGAAGCCGCTGCTGTGGCCGCTCCTCCTCCTTGCCAGCAGCAAATGTGCCTAATTACACAAACGTTGCTCAGCAAATGAGGCGCAGTGTCGTCTCCCGTCAGCCCGCCCCGAGGCTCCTGCCTGCGGCTCCGTTCACAGGCCTCTGCGTAGGCACCCGGGGCCTGGTCCACTCTGGCTCTCATGGTCCAGTCGCCGCGTGACGGAGCGCCAGGGCCCAGGACTCCGGGCAGTGCTCCACCGAGGCCTCCTTGCCCTGCCCGGCCTGCAGGGGCACAGCTGTCACCTGCCCTGCCAGGCTCTATGGGCCTGTACTCTACTGCTGACCAAGCTGAAGGAATGAGCCTCAGTTTTCTCATCTGTAAAAGGGCATAATGCATAGTAAGGGTACCTACGCCATCTACTGAGTTACTTGGGGAATTAAATAGGGTAATTTAAATGAGAGTTTGGAAACATTCCATAGATGCTAATAATGGTTGTTATCACTGTTGCTCCTCCATTGGCCTGTCAGAGAAGGAGGTTGTCTGCAGGCACGGGACCTGTGTGGCAGGGGCAGGCTGTGCCATGCCCTTGGACGAACTACTGTCGGTGGCTGTGGCACAGGAAGGTGGGGAACAGGCTGAGGAAGTCACCACTGGGGATGAAGAGAGGAGGGTCCCTACCCCAGGAAGGACTTTGTCCTTTAGCAGCAGGAGGTACAGACCCGACAGGGTCTGCAGAGCTTGCTAATATTCAGAGCCTTCCAGAGGGAACAGCCTGCCCCTGGACTCCTGGTGCATGAGCACCCCTTACCTGTAAACCACAGGTGATGGGGAGACACATGGCTGGAGGGAGTGTTCTTGCTGGTCGGGCAGAGTTCTCTTGTGACCCCCA